TTGAAAATTCCCATTTTCCCTGTGACCCAAAAGGCGCTCGTGACAGTGTAGCCGAATGGTTGGCGTGTCAAGCTACCATCTTGCACTGTCACGGTTCGACTCCCGCTGAGGGTGTTGATAAGGCCGATGCGAGGTCGAAACTGAAGTCCACTTCTGTCTGAATGAGAACAACTTTTGGGACAGCAAGTCTATATGAAATTCAATAGAAACGTCAGCTCAACTCATATCATTGTGGGAAAATTCTTCTTCTACCAGTCCTTCATCACTTTAAACGAAATTGGGTGAATACATTTCACATTCTATATTTATCTATATTTTTAATTTTTTGCTCAATTGAGTCAATATAAGAAGTAAGATAGAGCCGGATAATCTTCTTACCGTCTCTGATCGCCCGTTTTCACTTGAAAAGAGGGAGGAGGTTTTGTGGACTGCGTCAACCTGTGCGTCGTATTAAATGCAAAGAAAAGTTGGGTTTCGAGGAATCTCTTGTTTCATAATTGTTGAGCTTACTTCCATTTCGAGTGAACGTGTTGGTTGAAAAGATTCGAAGATCGGTTCCACCAAAAGAGGAGTTTTCTTGACTCATTAACTTGAATTTTGTTGTGACGATGACACCTTGCTCTGATGATGTTCGTCAAATGACGAACGAAAGCTTAGCACCATTTCACCGGAATCTAATGAGATTGTCTCGGCAACAGCGTCAGCATGAATCTTCCAGGAATCCGCTGTCGTCTTCTGGTGCAACCGACCGTCGTGTTAAGGTCAAACGACTGCAGTACAACAGGATTCATTCGTCCCATTCTGGTGAGATCGACCTATGAAGCTCCTCTTCAAGCACTTTCACACAAAATGAACCCCTCCCCCTAACAAACACAATTTAATAGCGATATTTTCCTATTTTACATTTTACTAAGGTCTGGTCAGCCTTGTTGTAGGATTTCAGGACCACTATATTAACGTATCCTTTACAAGAGAGGACACAAACTTTGAAATAAAGCTCATTCCGAAGTGGTTTTGACTTCGTTTCCTCAACTCTGCCATATTGTCAAGGCGACCTATTCGTGGCAATTTTCAACGTCAGAACAGGAAATTGGAACTTTTTCAGGCGTTTCGTCAACATCATCAGTGAAATTGGCAAAAGTACAGATAGTAGGCAGATGTACAAGAATGAAAGGATGCGTATTAACACATTCTTTTGGCAGAAAGTTGGTCAAGGGATGGACTTCATTTGTCTATTTGATGAGTTGCAGGTCACTGTCGACTGCGATGCCGGCGAAATGTCTATAAAGGTACTAAATCCACAGTCCGCCGCTGGAATTTATCATGAATACAATGCTATATGACTTCGGACAAGTTACGCTCATCTAGGTCGCCTTGACAACAGGATCAGTTTGTGAAAGCCTGGTCAAACCACTTCTATGCAATCAAAGGAGACCGCGACCATACTCAAGGCCACAACATTTTGATCTTCACATCTTTGACCAATCTTCTTCCGACTTCATTATTCCACGATTATCTGCGCCATATACACACCTGAGGCGTCATGTACAACATCGAGTCATCTCAGATGGGCTCTAGTAATCAAGAGGAGATTCAAGCTGGACACTATCATCCATCAATAATCCAGACTGAAGGTAAACAAGAGATGCTCAATCGAGCTGAAAAATTGACATTGTGAACTTGTGATCGTTGAGTTGGAAGTTATGAAGAAGAGCTTCATCAGCCTATGTCGCATAAGGTGATTTAGGAACTAATATTTTAATATTTTTGA